AACAGAAATCGTTTTGTTACAAATGTTCACTGAGTTGCTGAGTTGTTCTGTACATCCTTTATGACGGAACATTGTTCCACACCCACAGAAGTCAGAAGTTTCCACAAGCACTTCAGAAGAGAAAATTAATTTATTCATGCTGGTACAAGCGAAGAAGCTCAATCATTAGGAGTATTGAATCAACAAAGTGTTTGGAATCCTAAAAATGTACCATGGACATAATGTTAACAACAAAAAATCCATAAACAACTTAATGTGTTCTACAATACAAATATACAGTAGTATAGTACCAAAAATGGGATCTGCACTAAAGTCTTAAAAATTATAGTACAAAAAGCTTTAATTTCATTTCTTTATTCTACAAGGCCTCTGCAATAAGAAAATATATACTCTTTTAAAGATTGCAAGTAATTTTATAGCCAAAATTCTGATTTTTAACTTGCCTGCAAAAAACGTATAATGATTGCACTAGAGAGGAAGAGGATATAGAAAGGTAAACTGTAGCTGATTCAATTTTTATTTTGGGGTTTAAAGCAGTAGTAAAGTCTCATGAAAAAAAAAAAAACATTTCCCCATGCATGGTAATATCACAATGTGCTAGTATGCATACTAGTAAAAATTATGAAATACCTGAAAACGAAGCCCTTTAGCGGCATGCTGTCACCATTGACAGGGCTTCCATCTGCACCTGGCTTTCCTTCCAGGTTCACAGGCTATGGCCGTCTGACTGGCCGAGCTGTGATGACGTCACTTGTGCGCATGTCTCACAGTTCTGAAGGAATGGCATGCACCGCTGATCTCTCCAGCTTCTGCTCTCTGGAATATCTTCTAAACCGTGCATGTGCTGGAGATATTTATTTTACCAACAGGTAAGCTTTATTATAAACGTACCTATAGGTAAAAGTCAAAGAATGCCGTTTACGACCGCTTTAACACCACTTTAAGCAGTGTTGGGCATGCCACTATTAAAAAATCGATTGCAAACAACAATTAACCTTTAGCTGTGGTAGAGGAATCTTCCATCAAAGCATCCTGAGCAGAGCACAGAACTCTGGCCCACCAGCTCTGTGGTATATGTAGACCCTCATTCACCTTGTAAAACAACTAATGCAGTTTAAAATAAAAATGAATGGCAACACATGTGTATACATATAAAAACATTAGAAATACTTTTTTTTTCCAAAACACAAGACACGTGGGTGGCAGGGTGCCCCTGCCGGTCTACCTGGCAGCCTGTGGCTCATTGGTCTCAAAGCCAACTGTTAGGCAGCATCACAGGAGGGGGGCAGCATTACAGGAGGGGGGCTGCTTTATGCAGTGTCACAGGAGGGGGGCAGTGGGACAGGAGGAGGGCGGTGTTAAAGGAGGGTGGCATTGTCACAGGAGAGGGGCAGTGGGACAGGAGGGGAGCAGCAGGACAGGAGGAGGGCAGCGTTACAGGAGGGGGGAAGCGGAATAGGAGAGGGGCAGCATCACAGGAGGGGAGCAACAAGACAGTAGGGAGACAGTGGGATAGGAGGGGGACAGTGGGACAGGAGGCAGGCAGCAAGACGAAGGGGCAGTGGGTCAGGAGGAGGGTAGTGTTACAGGAGGGAGGCAGTGGTATAGGAGGGGGCAGCGGGACAGGAGGGGGGCAGCAGGACAGGAGGAGGGCACTGTTACTGGATGGGGACAGCGAGACAGGACAGAGGAGAAACTCTCCAGCATCAGGTCATCAGGCAGTGGCGGGTGGTGGGATTCATGTAGTTCCAGTTAGGGGTGTGAGCGTGGGGGGTGAAGAGGTGCTCATAATCTTGGGGGGCTAGGTCACCATGGTGGTGGTCAGGAGGAGGAGGGTTTCAGACAGGTGACAAGCTCTGACACCTGCTGCATTCTTTCTTCCTCTCAGTCTCTGACACGTGACACACCAGAGAGATGAGCTACTGGAGACATCCTGCCACTTCTGGCAGCAGCAGGGTGGGCACTCTGCATGGATCACCAGCCATGTACCTGGGCTCCCTGTTGCTCATGTGAGCACTACTACCCCCCCACCCAACTTGGCGCCCTAAGGTATCTATGTGTGCAGTGTGTCAGGGCACCCCCCCCCCCTTTCTGGGCCTGTGAACACCCTTCACCCATGGATGATATGCCACTGTTTTAAGGGGTCTATTTATGGAAAATCCCCCATAACTTGTCTAATGTGTATTTCCAATGATTGCCAGGTCCAACTAGTGGCAAGAATGTGGTTTTTTTTTTTGTTTGTTTTTTCTTGTTTTGTTTTTTTCTGAAATACAGCAATCAGAAAAATGCCACATTATGGCCACTAGATGGAGATGATGATCATGGGAAATATCACTTAGGGGACACATTACAGGATTATTTGCATAGCACATTTTTTATAAACATCCCCCCTGGGAGTTCATTCACAGGGTTTTAAGAGGGTGCACCTAGTGAGTGTGACCCCATCATGTTTCCCACAAATGTTAGGCTGAAACACTGTGTTGTGCTAAATGTCTCAGTACACATAAGTATGTTCCCAGATTCCCTATTTTCATGGCTTTGTGTCACGCCACCTAGAACATAGAACACTGTGGGGGAACCACTAAGAAGATACATTGAGCTCTGAACACTGCCTAGAGTAACATGGGTGCTGGATGCTCTTGTTCATCAGTCCCAGGATATAATAACTGTAAGAGGAAAGGTCAAATCAGAATTAGGGGCCTCACTAAAGTAGTGCTGTGGCCCCATCATGGCACATCTATAAAGCACAGTGGACTTTATAAATGTGTCTAACACTTCTCTTGCTTGGGGAATCCAAAGCAAGTGAAGCACAATTCATTTTAATAAAGTTTTTTAAAAGTGCCAGCAGGAAGACAGTCTGGTCACATATCAAAGTCATGTGACCAGTCTCTCCTCCAACCATAGATTGTTCTCTGCAACTTCATGCAGAAAACACTCTGTGGAACACCGCAGGCTACACACCACAACCTTCATTTTATGAAAGGAATGCTGGTGGTTATAAATAGTAGTTTATAAAGTAGTGCATAAAGCAATGGCAACCCACATCAAGATAACTCCAGGTTTACTGTCTTTAACTTGATATTACTGCACTTTTCATATTGTTTATTGCCTTTTTGAATAAGTTCACATGAGGATACTTGCCCTTTGTTTGCTAGTTAATATAATAAAAAGCATAACTTATGTTGTTGGCTAAGGCCCATGTTTTTGATATGATGATTTAATGGTTGTAAATGTGATTATGTCTTTACATTCTGAGCACAAAAGAAGAATGATGGAACTTTGAATTGAGTGCAGAAGACAAGATGAGTCAATCAGGTTTTTGTAATGCATGTGTAAATATAGAATATAGGTAACCATAATATAGGTCAAGCATTGTTCTTGATTGTACCACTTTAAAATCACCTGTGTAGAGGTAAAAGTTGTCCCCACCAGCCACTCCAGTATGTTATGGTCACTAATCAGATGCCAGCCATTATAGTAACAATTGTCTGATTGCATCTTCCAGAATTATTATACAGCTGCCAGTATTGTCTCCTACATGATGTACAGTATCTTGCCAATATTCTGCTTTATCAAGAACACTTGGTTGATTCAGAAATTGCTTTAAAATCTATGGTGCATTTTGGGGAATTCATAAAGGATGTTGTAGACACCCTCTAGAATTCCTTTGGGGCACAACACCAAAAATGACTGGTGCCTGATTCATGTACCTGCCTGGGAAAGGTACATGAGTCTATTGGTGTCAGGCACTGAGGTTGGAGTGCCCATACTGGACATTGCACTCACCCTGCATAGTTTTGTACTCAGGGTTGGTGGAGCCTCATGGAAAACTGATCAGATCCGCTTTACTTCCGGGTTCACAGGCTCCAGCAGCTTGAATGGCCGAGCTGCGATGATGTCACAAGTCACTTTTTACGGCACACAGTTCTGCAGGAGCAGCACGGGCATGACATTCCTGCAGAGCACATGTGCCACTGCTGCTACACAAGTAATTATATCTAAACAGTGCACATTTAGGTCATATTTACAGTACCTATAGGTAAGGCTTATTATAGGCTTATCTGTAGGTACAAGTAAAAAAATTGACTTTATTACCACTTTTAACCACTTCAATACAAGGCACTTTTACCCCCTTCTTGCCCAGGCCAATTTTCAGGTTTCAGTGCTCTCACGCTTTGAATGACAATTGCGCAGTCATGCAACACTGTACCCAAACTAAAATTCTATCATTTTGTTCACACAACTAGAGCTTTCTTTTGGTGGTATTTAATCACCACTGAGGTATTTATTTTTTGCTAAATTAACAAAAAAAGTCTGAAAAGTTTGGAAAAAAAAAACACTTTCTTTCTATTATAAAAGTTTGCAAATAAATAAATGTTCTTCACAAATTTAGGTCAAGATGTATTCTGCTACATTTATTTGGTGTAAATAACCCAAATTAGGATGTATTATTTAGTCTGTAGGAAAGTTATAGAGTTCACAAACTATGGTATACATCTGAAAATTGATCAATCCTGAAGTACTGACGGCCAATCTAATTTCGTAAGGCCCAAAAATGCCAGAACAGTACAGATATCCCCCCAAATGACCCCTTTTTGCAAAGTAGACAGTCCAACGTAATTCATAAGAGGCATGGCGAGTTTTTTGAAGTTGTAATTTTTTTTTTATCATTTTTTAGAAAAATAAGAAATGTAAAAAATTATTTGCACAATTTTTTTTTTTACATACTGTCACCAGTGTAGTATAGCATCATCATATAACTGGTGTGGTGGTGATCAGGGACACTGACTGGTGACAATACGAAAAAAAAAATGGATTAATATTTTTAATTTTTTTTTTTTTTTTATTTTTTAATTACATTTTTTCTCTTTTTTTAAGATTTTTTTTTTCATATTACACTATTACCATAGTAACATTGTACTACTTTGGGGAAGTGATCAGTATTTTTTTTTTTTTTTTTACACAATTTGATTGCTTATAGCAACTAATGTTTTTGCTTTAAGCAAGCATTTAACTGAATGAAATCGATTCATTCAGGTTTTTTTGTTGTGATTAGCTGTGATTGGCCACGGCTAATCACATGGCACAGATTGGCTGTGATTGGCCCAGCCTGTGCATGTGATCACTGTGACCATTCACTGCTAGACACACTTGTTTACAATGGATGGCATGCAAGGAAGTCATCCATTGTATACAACTGTCATGTGACCTGCTGTGATTGGTCACAGCAGGTCACATGGTACTGGCAATGGGGCCAGTACACAGATCTGTCATCGGCCATGTCCATGGTACACAGCCGGTGACAGATCTCGCCACAGCGCAGCCCTGCGGGCACGCGGAAAGCGCGGTGTGGGAAGGTCGTCATATGACGCCCTCCCGGAGGGACGAGGTGTTCACCCAGCCATCATATTACTATAGGCCAGGCGGGAAGTGGTTAAAGAATATATTACAGCCATAGTGACAGAGTGGTGGTAGTAAGAGCTACCTGAATCTGACATATGCGTTGGTAAATTGTAAGCTCCAAGGAGCAGGGCCCTCCTATCCCTCTTGTATTGAACTGTATTGTTGCTGTATTGGCTCCCGTTATATTGTAAAGTGTTGAGCAAACTGTTGGCGCTATATAAATCCTGTATTAATAATAATAATAATAATAAATGGACCAAACTGTTGCAAAGCTTCATGAATTAGGCGTAGGCCTAAGGGGTCATACTGCCAGAAAAGTGATAGTACTGAATTCCCCTGATTGTCTCATTATTATGTTTGTCAATGGTTGTTTGAACTGTCAGACTTATTGCTATGTGAGGTCAGAACCATATAAACAGACTTCCGTCCTCATTATGTCTTGTTTCACGTAATGATTTTTTAAGTACTTAAAACGCTCAGTTCATATAACGTGAAACGGGAAGATGAGAAGAAGAGAAGCTAACTGGATAGCACTCGACCTCGTATCAAGATATGTCATATACAGTATATATACACGTTACAAAATGATTGTACAATCCTCTTTAGATCTGCCAACAAGTATGAGATGCAAGGTGCTGCCTAATTGGATGCAGTTTAATTGGATGACTTGTGTACTATAGGTCCTCATACTACAGTTCTGGTAAATCTAAAGTTGATTGTACAGATATTGTATGGTCAGATTGTAATGTGTATGGTGACCCCAAGGGGTCTATTTATAAATGTGTTCACCCAAGATTCACATATAATTCCAGGAGAATCCAGTCAGAAAATTGTATATCTTGAGTGAAATGTCTCTGAATCCTGGGTAAAACAGTTATAACTAGACCCTTTACTGTCTTTCAAAATCAAAGCTTACCTGCTGATCCAGTGATTCATATAAAAGTAATCTACACATCAGAACTGATATGCAGAACCATCTCTAATTGCGAGCCGGAACCATTGTTGCAGCACTTCCAGTGCACACCCCAGTGTCAGGGTTAGCTGCAGCACTACGGACACTCTGGGGGGGATATTTGGACCCCCTATCCCCCCTCATCTACCACCCTGTCTGAGGGGTAGCCTTTCCAGGATGCATCTGTGAGGCCAGGGCTACATCACCAGTACCTCACTCAACCAGGACGTAGAAAAGGCATTAAATGTTTAACCACTCGCCCTCCAGAGGATTTACCCCCCTTCCTGACCAAGCCATATTTTGTGATATTTTAACTGACAATTGCGCAACGCTGCACACAAATGAAATGTATGTATTTTTTTCCCCACAAATGGAGCTTTCTTTTGGTGGTATTTGATCGCCTGTGTGGTGTTTTTTTTTTTTTTTTTTTTTTTTTTTTTAATCCTTTGCTCTATAAAAAATTTACAATTTTGAAAAAAAAAACAATATTTTTGACTTTTTACTATAAAACATATCCAGTAAAAAAAATTAAATCAAATTTCATCATAAATGTTGGCCAAAATGTATTCTGCTACATGTCTTTGCTAAAAAAATCCCAATAAGTGTAAATTAATTGGTTTACATGAAAGTTTTAGCGTCTACAAATGGTGGTATATATACTGGAATTTTTTTTTTTTTTTATACTAGTAGTGGCAGGGATCAGCAACTTATAGCGGGACTGTGGCAGGCATTTTGACACTGGGGGGGAACTGACTTGGTGTTTCTGACATCCCCAGTGACACTAATACAGTGATAATAAAAAGCACTGACACTGTACTAATGGCACTGGGCAGGAAGGGGTCAACGTCTGGGGTGACCAAAGGGTTAAATGTGTGCTGTGTGTGTTTTACTGCGCTGTGTGCTGTGCTTTACTATGAAAGCACACTTATTTGTATTGCTCCACTGTGCAGAGCAATACAAAGCAGCATGCTGGAGCTGACGGGAGATATCTGTATTGTTTACATACAGACCTCTCTCCCATCAGTGATACTCGGTGATTGCTGGGTGCCGGGACCTGGTGATCGACAGCTGTAGTGGGTAGGGCCGCGTATATATATGTGATTTTGCGCAGCCCTGCCGCTCTGCAGTAGTAGCACTGCTATAGAGAGGTCAGGAAGCGGTAAAGAGTAACTCCACTTTTGTTGAGAAAAACCTCCCCTTCTGAGTTATCAATGTACATTGCAGGGATTTTAACAAACGGTGTTGCAGATTCCTACCTTTTGTTGTTCTGAAGAAAGAGCTGTTTGTCTGTGTCCATGTGCAGAATGAATCATAAGGGAATGACTTCATAATTATCTATCAGCTACTGGACTTGCAGGGCTCTAATGAGGAAAATTGCAGGGTCTGCATCCCTGTAGACATGCTTTCCTATTGGGATTATCTCACCAAAAATAAAATTTTTTGTTGCAGGGGATGCCTGAAATCTGACTTATATGCAATGTGACTGACTTGTGTGAAGTTCAACTTGTGAGACTTGCAGACGTCTGGGAAAATCAGCGAGCCAAGCACACAAGCAGGAAATTATGTTTCGGGGGGGGGGGGGGTCATTCTGTACATATTCTGTGTTCAGAACACCTCCAGGTAGCTTATTGCATTTTACAGAAAATGACAGCACTGCAGAGTGAAAAGTTTAAGTAATGTTTAACCTCGTCCGGCCCATGTCGATAAACCATACCATTCTAACCATCCCCCCGCATCCACTGCCTGCGCACACTCCCTGGGAACATCAATCGCTGTACGGGACCTCTGTGTGAAGTCCCCAGTCATGTAATCACTGATTGGCCAATCAGTGATCACATGAACAGTAGTAAACAAGATGTCACTTCTGACATCATTGCTTACTACTTGTGAAATATTTGAATGATCACAGAGGTCACATGGTACAAGGCTATTCACAACAGCGTTGTACCATGTGACAAGCTGTGACCAATCACAGTTCGCACAGTATTTCTCAATGGCTGCAGGAATGCAGACAGAGAGAAGGAGAAATTATTGCTTTTACAGTCTTTATGGGTGTAAATGCAATCAGTGTAAAAAAAGAAAAAAAAAATCTTTACACCCCCCACAAGTAGTACAGTGTCACTGTTTTGCTAGGTTGACAGTATGTTAAAAAAAGTACATTAATAATATACAAAAAACTAAAATAAAAATGTAAACATTTTTTTTTTAAATTATAGTTTTTGGTTATAAACTAATTTGGGTTATTTATTTAATTTTTTTTACTAAAAAGATAGATTAATACATTTTGGCCAAAATTTATAAAGAGATTATTTATTTGCAAAATTTTATAAGAAAAACACTTTTTTCACAATTTTTGGATTTTTTTTAATTATATAGAAAAAAAAATAAAAATCCCAGTGGTGAATAAATACCACTAAAATAAAGTTTTATCTGTCTCAAAAAAAGCTAAAAAATTAATATGGGTACAGTGTTGCATGACAGTGCAATTGTCATTCAAAGTGTGATAGCACTGAAAGCTGAAAATTGTAACGCTTTTGCATTGAATCCGGGATCACCCTAATAACTGACCTTTACAGAGCTCAGAAGCTCTGCTGGCATCCTGCTCCTGCACCCCCTGTGATGGTGTCACCCAGTGTGGCCTGCAGCCCCCTAGGGACGCCACTGCTGATGGGTGACACTGCTGGGTGGCACTGACTGGCAGCACTAATGGGGTGCACTGAGAGGTGGCAATGCTGGGCACTGGTGGGTGGCACTGCTGGGCGGCACTTCAGGGCATTGATCATCAGTGCCCTAATGATCAGTGCCGATCTGTTCTGTGACAGCATAAGGAAAGTGCTGCCTTTAACCGGCAACTGTATTTACTCGGTGATCTGCTGTGTCATTGAACACAGCTGATCACGTAATAAATGGCCACTGTGATTGGCCTTTTACCTCATCATGTGATCGGCCGTGTCCATAGGACACAGCAATCATGGAGATCGCTTGGTGCGTGCCGCTGGGGGCACGCGGGAGGGTGCATTCTGGGAGTATGTGATAAGATGCCCTCCCAGAACTGGACGACCATGCTGTAGCTGTCATTCGGCTACACCACAGTTGGCAAGTGGTTAAATGCACATGAAAGCAGCCATTTTTCTTGCATATGAGTTTTCCACTGTCACTAATTCCTGAGGAAGCCACAGGTGCTTGCCTCTGCAACATCTCTAGAAACCACTGCTGTCATGGGGAATCCGTCTTTTTTTTAAGCAAAGGGGGGGGGGGATAGTAGTGATATCACTGCCCCAATATTGTCACTGGCCATGGCCATATTTGGTCAGTGATGCCACCACTATCCCTAGCCTTCCCTTATAAAGCTGATGGCATCTCGGGGAGCTTTCATTTGGCTTTGTGTCTATTTAGTATTGCTCTTGTGCGGCAGGTTGTTGAATGTTTTTTTTTTTCCGGCATGGGTGACACTAGATTTACAAATCAGGGACTTTTTGGGGAATATTTTTTAAAATAAAAGATTTCACATGTTGAGTGTCTTTATTTCTAGCTGACTTTTTATTTGGTGAATGAGTAAGGGTACTGTGTACCCCATACTCATTTACGTGGGGGGAGCAGTATCTGGGGGCCCTTCCAGATGCCAATAAGCCCTACACCCACAGACCCCCACAACTTGAGGCCAGGGTCGTGGGGATGAGGCCCTTTGCCTACCTGTATGTTGAGGGTACGTGGCCTGGCATGGTTACATGAGAGGGAAGGTCACATGCTCATCCTTCTAGCCCTTTCCTGGCCAGCCAGGCTGCATTCTCGGATTAAGGGTCTTCTATGGATTTTTAGGGAGAACTCATGCAATTACATTTATTGTCACAATCTTTAAAAAAATAAATAAAACAGCACACAGACCCCTCCTTTTTTTAATAAAATGTAATTTACCAACTTTTTTCTTTGGTAAATATCAGTGTCACATCTGTCACTATGAAGGAGATGCAACCATATACATGCAGGATTACGGCACATTTTTAATGTTTCAATTGAAGTATTTTTTAAAAAAATCACTGTTCCTGGCTGAATGGATTGGTACATGTTCCCCAAGGCAGTACCCAAAACTTTTTTGAAGTTCACCGAATCCTGCACAAATCAAACCCAGGGCAGTTCACTATTCCCTACTTTGCCTCAAACTATAAAAAACTGGGGCTAAAAAATACCCTATACCAATAGTCAGGGCTGTGGATAAGGGGATATCACCTGTCCTCCTGTACGGGGCACAGGCCAGCAGGGGGGCCCAGGCAGCTGGGTGAATAGGATGTGGGAAGGGAGGGTGATCGGCATGGCGGGAGGGGGAGTTACTGGAACTGATCCCCTGTATGGCTCTCTCTGCAACAACTGAAAGCTGGCTTCTTCTTCTCTCCCTCCCACCATACCAATCACCATCCATGTGCACCATATGTTTCCCCCTTGCTGCCCAGGCATCCCTGTGTACCCCCCTCTACCCCCGCAGTGCTGCTGGCTTCCCTCCTCTCCTTCCCACCAGCAGCTGCAGGTACACAATAGAATCCTTCAGGATGGAGAGTGGAGGAAGGGTCTGGAAAATGTCACATTTACCAGCTACTTCCTTTCCTGAATGAACACAATGAGTGATAGGTACCGATCACTCACTGTGTTCATTCATAACTAAGCATTGTAAACTGTGTTTATTTAGGAGTGCCCTTTCAGGTTGGCTGTATGGGGACCCATGGTTTCTAACAGCAGCCCTGCCAGTAGTACTCAACTACTGACTTCCCTTCTACTGGGTCTTCATGTTTGTCAGACACACTCTGCAGGCCAAACAAAGTTTATATGTACTTTTCATTCACATACTTATTGTGACTAAGAATTAACTTCTTTTGAGGTCAGATTCCATTAATTCTGAAAGACACTCCAATCCACTAAAGTATTGGTCTCCAAACTGCAGCCCAGGGGCCGGATGAGGCCCTTTGCTTGTCTTTATTTCGGCCCTTGAGGCACGTTTCCTCCCACTGATAGACACTATTCTTCCCACTGACACCAACAATGAGGAACACTGACAGGGGAGAGGTTTGTATGTAAACAATACAGATCTCCTGGCAGCACCAACTTGCTGCTTTGTATTGCTCTGCTTAGCAGCATGTCTCCCTAGTAAAACACATACAGGCCACATAGTAAAACAGCACAAGGCATACAGTTAACCCTTTGATCGCCTCACATGTTAACCCCTACCTGCCCAGTGTCATTAGTACAGTGCCAGTGCTTTTTATTAGCACTGATCACTGTATTAGTGTCACTGGGGATGTCAGTGTCAGTTAGTGTCAGAATGCCCACCGCAGTCCCGCTATAAGTCACTGATTGCTGCCATTACTAGAATAAAAAAAAATCATATATATACAGTGGGGCAAAAAAGTATTTAGTCAGCCACCAATTGTGCAAGTTCTCCCACTTAAAAAGATGAGAGAGGCCTGTAATTGGCATCATAGGTAGACCTCAACTATGAGAGACAAAATGAGAAAAAAAATCCAGACAATCACATTGGCTGATTTGGAAAGAATTTATTTGCAAATTATGGTGGATAATAAGTATTTGGTCAATATCAAAAGTTCATCTCAATACTTTGTTATATATCCTTTGTTGGCAATGACAGAGGTCAAACGTTTCCTGTAAGTCTTCACAAGGTCGGCACACACTGTTGCTGGTATGTTGGCCCATTCCTCCATGCAGATCTCCTCCTGATGTTTTGGGGCTGACGCTGGGCAACACGGACTTTCAACTCCCTCCAAAGGTTTTCTATGGGGTTGAGATCTGGAGACTCGCAAGATCACTCTAAGATCTTGAAATGCTTCTTACGAAGCCACTCCTTTGTTGCCAGGGTGGTATGTTTGGGATCATTGTCACGTTAGAAGACCCAGCCATGTTTCATCTTTAATGCCCTTGCTGATGGACAGAGGTTTGCACTCAAAATCTCACGATACATGGCCCCATTCATTCTGTCCTGTACATGGATCAGTCATCCTGGTCCCTTTGCGAAGAAACAGCCCCAAAGCATGATGTTGCCACCCCCATGCTTCACAGTAGGTATGGTGTTCTTTGGATGCAACTCAGCATTATCTCTCCTCCAAACACGACGAGTTGTGTTTCTACCAAACAGTTCTTTTTTGGTTTCATCTGACCATATGACATTCTCCCAATCCTCTTCTGGATCATCCAAATTCTCTCTAGCAAACTTCAGACGAGCCCGGACATGTACTGGCTTAAGCAGGGGGACACGTCTGGCACTGCAGGATCTGAGTCCCTGGTGGCGTAGTGTGTTACTGATGGTAGCCTTTGTTACGTTGGTCCCAGCTCTCTGCAGGTCATTCACTAGGTCCCCCCGTGTGGTCCTGGGATTTTTATTCACCTTTCTTGTGATCATTTTGACCCCACGGGGTGAGATCTTGCGTGGAGCCCCAGATCGAGGGAGATTATCAAGTGGTCTTGTATGTCTTGCATTTTCTAATTATTGCTCCCACAGTTGATTTGTTCACACCAAGCTGCTTGCCTATTGCAGATTCAGTCTTCCCAGCCTGGTGCAGGTCTACAATTTTGTTTCTGGTGTCCTTCGACAGCTCTCTGGTCTTCACCATAGTGGAGTTTGGAGTGTGACTGTTTGAGGTTGTGGACGGGTGTCATTTATACTGATAACAAGTTCAAACAGGTGCCATTGATACAGGTAATGATTGCAGGACAGAGGAGCCTCTTAAAGAAGAAGGTACAGGTCTGTGAGAGCCAGAAATCTTGCTGGTTTGTAGGTGACCAAATACTTATTTTCCACCATAATTTGCAAATAAATTCTTTCCAAATCAGCCAATGTGATTGTCTGGATTTTTTTTCTCATTTTGTCTCTCATAGTTGAGGTCTACCTATGATGCCAATTACAGGCCTCTCTCATCTTTGTAAGTGGGAGAACTTGCACAATTGGTGGCTGACTAAATACTTTTTTGCCCCACTGTATATATATAAATATATATATATATATTAGCCATGTGTTAACTTTCACGTAAACCAATTAATTTACACGTGTTGGGATTTTTTTCAGCAAAGACATGTATACATGAATACATTTTGTCCTAAATTTATAATGAATATTACATTTTTTTTAAATTTTTTACTGGACATGTTTAATAGCAAAGTCAAAAATATTACTTTTTTTTCCAAATTTGTCGGCCTTTTTTTGTTTATAGTGCAAAAAATAAAAAACACAGAGGCGATCAAATACCACCAAATGAAACCTCCGTTTGTGGCAAAAAAAGGACATAAATTTCATTTGGGTGCAGTGTTGCATGACCACGCAATTGTCAGTTAAAGTAATGCAGCACCGTATCGCAAAAAAATGGCCTGGTCAGGAAGCAAAATCCTCTGGAGGGCAAGTGGTTAACCAATGAAAAGTGACTGTCATTTGCGGCCTCGGCTGTCAGTCACCGGGTACTGGCCGCTGATTCCCCAGCGGCACCCAGTGATCGCCGAGTATCACTGACAAGGGAGAGACCTGTGTATAAACAACACAGATCTCTCCTGTTAGCTCCTGTGTAAAGCACACACACAGTGTTACCCAGTGTAAAGCACACACACAGCACACAGTAAAAAAGCACACAGCACACAGTTAACCCTTTGATCGCCCCACATGTTAACCCCTTCCTGCCTAGTGCCATTAGTAGTGTCAGTGCTTTTTATTAGCACTGATCACTGTATTGGTGTCACTGGGGATGTCAGTGACACCAATTCAGTTCCCCCCAGTGTCAGAATGCCCGCCGCAGTCCTGCTATAAGTCACTGTTCGCCATTACAAGTAAAAAAATTTAAAAAAATAAAAATTCCAGTATATATACCGCCATTTGTAGACACTATAACTTTCATGTAAACTAATTAATTTACACATATTGGGATTTTTTTTTTAGCAAACACATGTCGCAGAATAAATTTTGTCCTACATTTATGACGAAATTTGATTTTTTAAATTTTTTTACTGGGCATTTTTAATAGCAAAATTTCAAAAATATAGTTTGTTGGGTTTTTTTGTTTATAGCGCAAAAAAATTAAATGCAATTTTGAAAAAAGAAGAGGTGATCAAATACTGCCGAAAGAAAGCTCTATTTGTGGAAAAAAAAAAAGGACGTAAATTTAATTTAGGTGCAGCGTTGCATGACCGCGCAATTGGCAGTTAAAGCAACGCAGCGCCGTATCGCAAAAAATGGCCTTGTCAAGAAGGGGGGAAATCCTCTGGAAGGCAAGTGGATAAGTGTAGTGGGAAACTTTTTGTAGTAAATACTTTTTATAGCAAAAGAGGGACAACTGAGGGGGAAAGAGGGATCTAAAGTCGGGAAGTGTGTGTGTGGCTGTAGCCGTGTGGTTGTCGCCTATAGACCTCATTACAGCTTGATTCCCCCCAGCCAGCAGGTGAATATCCGCCTCCTCCATGAAGCTGTGCTGTGACTCCAGTATACAGAGCCCCCACCTCTCCGAGTCTCCTCTCCTCTGGGCGGCTCCCCGTACACTGCGCTCCACACCGCTCCGATCCGTCCGCTCCCACACACCATGGGCTTGGAGAAGGAGAAAGCCGATGCTCGGATCTTCATGGACGAGGATGACTTCAACCGCTCCGACATGCCCATGCTGACAGAGAAGACCTATGAGAGCAGCCAGCAGGATCGGGACCCCAACAATCTCAACAGCTACTTGAAGGTAAGGGGGGGCCCTGGGGACATCACAGCCGGGACTGGGGCACACTGCCAGCACTTCACTGACTGCTGGACTTTATAGAGAGACAAAGTAGAAGGCTGAGACTTCGGGACATGTCGATTATCAAGCTTTCATCTGTTTGTATGAGGGAACTACAGTAGTGTCATTGTTGGGTCTCGGTTCTGCTGACACTTGTAGTTCTCATGCCCAAAACTGCAATGATTGTGCATTGATGAGTCTGTTTACCAGGTGTAGTATACTTGGATGAGTGAGCTACAAGATTGCATTAGTTGGCTCTGTGGTCTGCTGCTACTTGTAGTTCATTCACCTACTACAATACTTCTGTAATAGTTGGGTCTCGGTTCTGCTGCTACTTGTAGTGCATTCGCCCACTACTGCAATACTTCTGTAATAGTTGGGTCTCGGTTCTGCTGCTACTTGTAGTGCATTCACCCACTACTACAATACTTCTGTAATAGTTGGGTCTCGGTTCTGCTGCTACTTGTAGTGCATTCGCCCACTACTACAATACTTCTGTAATAGTTAGGTCTCGGTTCTGCTGCTACTTTTAGTGCATTCGCCCACTACTGCAATACTTCTGTAATAGTTGGGTCTCGGTTCTGCTGCTACTTGTAGTTCATTCGCCCACTACTACAGTACTTTTGTAATAGTTGGGTCTCGGTTCTGCTGCTACTTGTAGTTCATTCGCCCACTACTACAGTACTTTTGTAATAGTTGGGTCTCGGTTCTGGTGCTACTTGTAGTTCATTCGCCCACTACTACAGTACTTTAGTAATAGTTGGGTCTCGGTTCTGCTGCTACTTGTAGTTCATTCGCCCACTATTACAATACTTGTGTAATAGTTGAGTCTCGGTTCTTCTGCTACTTGTAGTTCATTCGCCCACTATTACAATACTTCTGTAATAATTGGGTCTCGGTTCTGCTGCTACTTGTAGTTCATTCGCCCACTACTACAGTACTTTTGTAATAGTTGGGTCTCGGTTCTGGTGCTACTTGTAGTTCATTCGCCCACTACTACAGTACTTTTGTAATAGTTGGGTCTCGGTTCTGCTGCTACTTGTAGTTCATTCGCCCACTATTACAATACTTGTGTAATAGTTGAGTCTCGGTTCTTCTGCTACTTGTAGTTCATTCGCCCACTATTACAATACTTCTGTAATAATTGGGTCTCGGTTCTGCTGCTACTTGTAGTTCATTTGCCCACTACTGCAATACTTCTGTAATAGTTAAATCTCAGTTCTGCTGCTACTTGTAGTTCAGTTACCCAGGGAGGCAATGCTTGTATAATAGTTGGGTCTTTGTTCTGCTGCTGTTTGTAGTTCAGTTATTCAAGGCTGAAATGCTTTGTGTAATAGTTGAGTCTTATCTCTGCTGCTACCTGTAGTTCAGCTGCCCACAACTACAATACTTCTGTAATAGTTGGGTCTCAGTTCAGTTACCCAGGGAGGCAATGCTTGTATAATAGTTGGGTCTTTGTTTTGCTGCTATTTGTAGTTCATTACCCAAGACTACAAAACTTATTCAAGTCTGAGTTCTGCTGCTAGTTATAGTGCAGTCGGCCAGGGAGGCCATGCTTACGCATTAGTCGGGTCTCAGCTCTGCTGCTACTTGTAGTTCAGTTGCCCAAGGCTACAAACTTTCTGTATTATTCAGGTCTCAGTGTTGCTGATACTTGTAGTTCAGTTCCCCAGAGCTGCAGTGCTTATGTAAAAGTGAGTCTCAGTTCTGCTGTTACTTGTAGTTCTGTTCCCCAGGGCTGCAATTATTATGTAATAGGGAGTCTTAGTTCTGCTGCTACTTGTAGTTCAGTTCTTCAGGGAGGCAATGCTTGTGTAATAGTTGGGTCTCAGTTCTGCTACTACTTGTGGTTCAGTTGCCCAAGACTAAAAAACTTGTGTATTTTTCAGTTCTTGGTTCTGCTGCTACTTGTAGTTCAGTTCTTCAGACATGAAATGCTTGTGTATTAGTTGGGTCTTTGTTCTGCTGCTACTTGTAGTTCACTTGCCCAAGACTACCAAAACTTGTGTATTATTCAGGTCTTGGTTCTACTGTTGGCCAGGGAGGCAATACTTGTGTATTAGTTAGGTTCCATTCTGCTGCTACTTGTAGTTCAATTGCCCAAGAATACAAAACGTGTGTATTATTCAGGTCTCAGTTCTGCTGCTACTTGTTGTTCAGATACTCAAGACTGCAATGCTTGTGCAATAGTTAGGTCTCAGTTCTGCTAATAATGGTCACTGTCTGTTTTGTCTTTTCCAGCTAGGCTTTGAGGATGTGATCGCAGAGCCTGATACCACTCACAGCTTCGATAAGGTGTGGATCTGCAGCACTGCACTCTATGAAATCAGTAAATACCTCATCTACAAGGTGCTCACCCTGCTCCTGGCCATCCCACTGGCCTTTGTCATAGGAGTGCTCTTCGCCATCCTCAGCTGCCTGCACATTTGGTAATTCCACCATTTTATTTCCTTTATATGATTTTATTTTAAAGTGTTACTTAACCCAAACAGTAAAATCAGTCTGTATATGCAGTAATGTATGCTTGCTCACTGGGGATCCTAAGAGGTTAACCCTCCACATTGTGTAAAAAGGCTGTTTGAATCTGTCTTCTCTGATCCTCCCCATCTTCTACTGTCACCAACCCATCTGCTGATATAACAGAGCTCTAGGAGTCAGTCTGCACATGCTCAGTTTAGTGTGTATTGCTAGAGGGTTTTTTTTGTGAGGGTACCTGTGATTGGCACAGGGCCATTCAGAGCTGTCCGGACAGAGAGTCAGGGGTCATGCAGCCTCATAGGACAATTAGTTGAGAATGAAACCCCTCCTACAAGCTTTAACCAGTGCTTGGCAGGACACTGATAGAAGTCTGGCAGTACTAGGGTCATTGGTTCAATTCCCAACCATGGCACCACCTGCCTGGAGTTTACATGTTCTCCCTGTGCCTGCGTGGGTTTCCTCTGGGTACTCCAGTTTCCTCCCACACTCCAAAGACATGGTGGTAGGTTAATTGGATCCTGTCTAAATTTGCCCTAGTATGTGTATGTATGAATGTGAGTTAGGGACCTTAGATTGTACACCCCTTGAGGGTTAGGGACTGATGTGAATGTACAATATATATGTAAAGCACTGCGTAAATTGATGGTGCTATATAAGTACCTGAAGTAAATAATAAATCACAAAACTGCTATATACTGCTTATGAGAAAAGGTATTTATCAGTTTATATTTACTAAAATAATTGCATTTCCATGTTGTGTGTACTGTGGGAGACCAGATATAGTGAATGCAGGGTCCTGGGTTTAGTAACACTTTAAATTGCAGGATTAGACTGCTTAATAAAATAATTCTAATCCCAAATGTAGGTATTTATTATAGCAGGTGTGGTTTGCAATTTATCAGCACTGCTCAGATGTGCCCATACATATCCAGGCCTATTAAAGTCACGCAGGAATGAAATCCTGTGTGATCTAATCTCCTTGGAGGTAGAGAAATACGCTTCTTGAAAGTTAAAACAAATGTTTGATGTATATATGCAGCCTGACTGTATATATTCAGGTAACAGTCTCCATGAATCTTCTGAATACATTCACTGGATTCCAGCGACTAGTATCATCAGATTCATGTGGTTAGAGGACCCGGGGTGTGATTGGCAGTAGCTGCTCAGCCTATTTAAACTAATAAGCAAACATCAGCTGTTCACATGTAGCTGCACATTAAGCAGGTACCTTTGGTTATGGGTGGATGTCCAAGCCTGGACACAGTCTCCTGTGTGGCTTGGACATCTGTCCCTAATCGCACCTATCCACTCTGTGTGTGGCTACATGCAAACAACGGCAGCTGATGTCAGCTCGTCATTAGTTCAAATAGACTGAGCAGCTGCTGCTAATTGCATGCTCCAGTCACTCCAGCAGCAAGAATGAGCTGATTCTTGCTGCTGGAATCCAGTGGCCGATAACCAGCCATATAAAAGAGGCCTAAATGTAAGGCCCCTTTCAGACGGGGCGGACTCTGTTCCGATCAGCTCAGCTCAGAGATCCCTTGCTGATCGGAGCAGAGCAGGCAGATGACACATCTGTGTCCACTTTATGCAGAGCGGACACGAAGTCTTCTGTGCTGTATGGGCCACCAAGTGTAAAAATGGACTCCACTGTCCATTTACACGTAAGAGCCCTCAGATCTGATGTGCCTAGATGGAGAACAGATCCCCTTCCATTTTTTTTTTTTAGCAGACCAGATAAGCTTGGAGGCAGGCAGATGTAATCTGTTTACACCTGTTCCATAGTGGTGAATGGAGGGACTGATCAGGTCAACCTAAAAAACTGACAGATGGACCTGATCGGACCCTTCATGTGAAAGGGGCCTATATATGTAATGTAATAAATCTAAAATGTATCTAAACCCAGAAATGATACATTGAATACATTGCAGTTTACCAGTCCTTAGATGAGGTGCATACATAGGTTTTGTTTTTCATGCTTTTTTTTTTTTTCTTCAAAATAATACAATTAATGTTCCTATGTGGCTACACTCACTCTTCCACTGTATCTGTGAAGGAGGCCATGGTTGCCACCCAGGCTGGACCTCAAACATTTCTGTTTTTGTTTATCTCCGCTACATGGTGTCTCAAGGGATTAGTTTACAGAAGAAAAATAAGGCTGTTTTTGTTTTCTATTATGTTCATAGACAGTGACAAGGACACTGCATTTTTGGTAAGATCAACAGATATTTTCTGTATTAGCTGAAAAACTAATGCAGCCACCACATCTAAGCTGCAGTACACTACATCTTTCTATTTGGGTTTAGTTTTCCTTTAAATTGTATTAGAGGGCCAACCATTGTTCACCTTCTGAAAATCCAAGTTTTCCAGCTGGTATGCTCATCCATTGGATTTAATACTTTCTAAATCACTGGCTCAAAACAAGTTTAAAGGCCAGGAAAGTCAGGGAAAAGTCATAAGACCTGTTCCAGGTCTTTTCCTCAAAGTCAGAAGCATAGGGTGCAAGCACACCCCCAGTCAACTAACACTTTCAGAAAGAGAGGTCAGCAGTGGTAACGATCTCATAAGATGGGATTCTCCTTAAGTACACTTGTCATTAGACAGGTCCCAGGTTCTGTACCTGCATTTGGTAACATGGATTAAGTGAATAAATCGCCTTTGTAGTTTGGGCCCCACTAAAGACTTGGATTGGTAGTAAGTCTGTTTAAATCTCAAATAGCAAATCATTGAGGATGAAAAAGTACCCCTTAACCTGGTTGGCTGTTTGAAGTGAATAAAGGTGCACTACCCTTTGGAAGTTTGAGTAGACCAACTCTTAAGTGGGCCATAGATTAATTGAATTTTGTCAGGTTCCTTCTGAACTGGCTAAATTTTGATCTATCTATGGCCAGCTTAACCCATTGTTTCTTTAGTAAATAAGCCAGCCATAGATTGATCAAATCTCAACCGGTTCAGCAGGGGATGGCTGAGATTTGATCCATCTATGCTAAAAGTCTTAATTTAGATTATACGGTTATTGTAAAGTCTGAATACTCTTTGGGATATCAGATGGCAAGTAAAGAAAGAAGAGGCATACCTGGACTACGTCCTCCTTGCGCTGTAAATGGACCTTTTGACAACTATAGAGAATGCATTGACATTAAAGGGAAACTCAAATTGTGCCTAAAGCATCCCACCTAATGCTCCTTCTATGGCAGATCTACAGTTAGGCCATTATAGTCTATGGCTCAGATGGAGCATATGTAGTACTGTGTAATCCCTTGGCTAACTGGGACAGAAATATACTTGAGGGATCAGACAGCATGGAGGACATACCTGCTAACTTAGAGATAGGAAGGATGGACACCCATCCAGCATGTATTATTGGAAGCAGGGTGGATTAAATACACAAAGGATAACACATTAGGCTTGCAAAAAAAAGCAGGTCAAAAAAGGGGTCAGTTTAGTAAAAAAATGCTTTTGTCACTTTAAAATGAATTACTACGTACAAAAATGCTTCAGCCAGAAAGGAAAAATGCGTGTAGGCTTGTGGCAGCAATTTATAGCAGCTCTGTTGCAAAAATAAATTAGAAAAATAGTTTTTCCTGCAAAGAGGAAATAAATTATTACCTTTCCTGCTCCTCATACAATCAAAAACCATTCCAATGAAGGGAAATGCCATCACCCCCCACCAAGTTTCTATAAAAGCTTGAACTGGGAGTGACAATTTCTCCTGTGTCCCCAGCTGTGCTAAGTGCCTCTTCCCACTGACCTTGTGTCATTCCTGTGTTCTTCAGAGACATTTGGGGGTGGGAGCGATTTCTCTTAAATGGAGTGGTGTTTGGTGGCTCAGAAAAGGGAAAGCCTTTATTTTGCAATTCATTTTTGCAACAGGGTAGTTTTAAGTAAGCCTTTGCTGTGATATTTTCCAGTTAAAGCTACAGTAGCCAGTTGGAGTTATGTGGGATTGTGAAGGATAGTCCTTGAGCATATGGACCCTGAGATTAGGCCTTGTCATGGGACAGAATCCTAAGGGTCTCATCTGATCTCTGCGTTTACATATATTAATCTCATGAGGAGAGTGATGGGAGGAACATAAAGGGGAGCTAATCTCTACTGCCAGTGCTCAGGGGTTTTGCCAATGTGCAAACATGCATAGCGTATTTGAACATTATGTCAGACTTTCCTGCCAAAGCATCACCCTTCAGTGGTATGATGGCCACACTCTCCCTCATTGTTCCATGACTGCAGACATCTTTATCTAGCTTTGTCCATCTTGATTGGCTGGAAGTAATTCATTCCAGTACCAAGAAATGTTGAGAATGTACAATGAGCTGTGCAAGCATGGTTCAGTGCGCATTCATTAGAAACATTACTGCCAGGTAGGAGAACAGCTTTTATTCCAGAGGAACATACATGGTACCATCTGCAATAAAGACCTACCTACCAGCAATGTTTAGGTTTAAAGAATTACATTCTACTTTAAGTTGAACTTTCAGTCCAGTTTGAAAGGTAGTAAAAAACAAAACTTGGAGGTATACTTCAGCCAAATTGAAAAGTAAAGTGTATCTAAAACCAGGTTTTCATTGCTGTCTATGTCCCCATTATGGAGGTGTACCCTGTCTTTTTTACCCATTGATCATTGTCACCAGGACTGAAAGTAAGGGAAAATCAAAAATTATTAGTGATCACCAAAACAGGAATGTCTAAGAAAGGGGAAACAAATGTCTAAGACATTTATGATAATTTATGATAATCCGGTGATCCTGGAACACACGTGCTGGTGATTCTGGAGCACCCTACTTATTACTTGCACATACAGAGCCTTAATTCTAAGATTTTCTAAAGCTACCAATCAGACTTAAACCTGCCTTTGAAGCTTCAATGTGATTGGTAATGCAGAAGAGAAATATATACATAGCTAATACTTCCCAAAGCCCTCCTGACCCTCATGGTGGTCTGTATGTGCTTT